GTAAGCACTCAACTGGCAACGACAATAACATGCAGGACAGAGGGTAAAAGTGGCCGCTTTTTAGAAAATAATAATCTCAAAACTGACAATGGATTTGTGCATCCTATTAACGCTAGCTCGTCCTGCATCCATTTTATTCACAGGGCAGTGAACTTCAAAGATGAGAAAACTACGTTAACAGTGACATTTTTCAAAGGTCGGCAAGGCGGCCAAAGTCCCTCCCCCCGGGTTAACCAGGCCGCTAGAAAGGGGCTATTTGGCCGGTGCTAGTGACTGTCAAGCCTGGACGTTAAAGGAAATAGTTCACTTTTAACCTTCGCCCCAGTGGGGGGGGGGGGGCATATGTTAGGGCCAAGTAAAGCTGCATATACCACGACACGGTGTATTGTGCTTCCAGCGACCGAAGACCAAGCACGGACACGGCGACCCGCCGACTGACCCAGTCCGGTCACGGTCGCGCCCTTATATAACAACGGCACAGAGCGCATGCGCGGTGACCGCGCGGCGGTCAGGCGGCTCGCCGGCCGGACGGCCGGGCCGCCGACCCATCCTGTTCCACGGCCCCACGCGGCCGGTCCGCGGTCACAATATCCCAACATTCCTCCCCCCATAAAAGAAACGTTTCCACTTGGTCAAGTAACAAAGAAACGCGACACACTACGCGACCGGAACGCGACCGGAAATACAAACTGATTCAGACACTGGTGATGCACATCAAGAGCATCCGAGGCCTAAGATTGAAAACGATCTGGGGGGAGCGACACTCTGCCAGACCTGGTCACATACGCGCCCCGCACAGATGTACCCCCATTCCCCACCTGATCTCGGGCCCGCCGGCAGAGGTAGTACAACGCCAGTGGATCCGGTCCAGTCTCCTCGGACCCCGTCTGCTTCCTGGGACCCGTTTCTGTGGCTGTGTCCGATGCGTCGTCCCTCCTGGTGCTTCCAGACGTTTCCTGTTTGTGGGACTCCCGTTCCACAGCTGGCTTTAGCTGGTTGAAGTGCAGAGCCTTTTCCTTGCCCTTGTCGTCACGGACGAGGTACGTTACTCCTCTCTCTCCTCCGAGGCGGCCGATGATGGTGCCCGGGCCTTTGTAGTACAGTCCCAGCTTCGGCTTCCCGCCGACCGAGACCCTGTTATCCCGAATCCATACCCGGTCACCAGCCTCGAACCCTTTTCCGCTTGCGCGCTGGTTGAATCGGGTCGCAGCCTCCGTAGCACTGGCCCGGGTTTTCCTGATAGTCGTCTGATAAGCCTCTGAAATGGCCTTTAGACGCTCTTCAAGGTAGCACCGGATATTTACCGCCCGATCCGGAGGGTTGATGACCGCATCGAGTGGCGTTTTCGGGTGGAATCCGTGCAGCAGAAAGAACGGGGAATATCCGGTGACGCTGTGCACAGAGGTGTTGTAAGCCATGCAGTACGCCTTGATGTCAGCGTCCCAGTTCGTTCCTTGAGGGTCAACGTATTTGGCGACCATGTCCTTGAGTGTTCTCATAAAACGCTCTACCATACCATCACTCTCGGGGTGATAGGGCGTTGTACGCGTTTTCTGGGTGCCCAGTCGCTTGCACATGCACTGGAACAATGCAGACTCAAATTGGCCTCCTTGGTCCGAGTGAATCCTGTCTGGCACCCCCATGTCGTAAACCCAATCCAACAGCACCGTGGTTACGGTTCCGGCATCCTGCCGTCTGACTGGGTACACTCGGACGCATTTAGAAAAATAGTACATGATGACTACTGCATATCGGTTGCCATTCTTCGACACCGGCATCTCAGTGATGTCAATCGCAATTCTGCGGAATGGTTGACTCGTGACCTCCGTCACCAGAGGAGCCCGTTTCTTCGGTGCAGGGCGATGGCGCCGTTGGCAAAGGTCACACGTGCTGCAGTACCGACGGATGTCCGCGAACATGCCGAGCCAGAGGAAGCGCTGTCGCACTCTTTCCGTTGTTCGACTCCGTCCCAAGTGTGCGGACGTCGGATGGTCATGGGCGAGCGTCATGATTCGTGATCGCATCGAATCGGGGACCAGGGCCCGGAAGCCCCACTTCGTCCTCATGCCGAGAACGCCCTCCCGCACTTCGAGCTGCGTCCAGCTCCCACGCAGTAGCTCCCACTCGGCGAGAGGGTGATCGGGCGGTGGTTCCCGACTGCCCACGCAGGCGTTCCGCATGACACTGAGGACCTCGTCCTCTTGTTGCGCCGTCTGCAACTCCGATTGTCCTGGTGCTTCAGTGATTAGGCGTCCCGCCTGGTCACCCTTCGCACTAGGTGGCGCAGTAGGCAGTGCGCAGACGTGGTCAAGTTCTGCTGCGCCTCGAGTCTTCCCCACACATTCCTCCTCTCCACCAGAAGCAGGTTCTTGGGCTCTTGTAGCTGCGGTATGCACGGGTGCTTCACCGGCTTCGGCGGGATAAGACTTACTGCGCTTGCCCGTCCAGATATTGCCGTTGACTGGTCGCTGCCGGGACATCGCATCGGCATTGCCGTGATCACGGCCCGGCCGGACAACCACCCGGAACTGGTAAGAGCTCAGCTCGATGGCCCACCGGCCACGTCTTCCCGTCCCGTCCCGTTCCACATTGATGGACTCCGGTACACCCGTGAGTGGTTTGTGATCGGTCACGGCTTCGAATTCTGCTCCAACTGTGTACTGGTTGAATCGCCGGATGGCGTGCACGATGGCCCAGAGTTCTTTATCATATGTTGGCCATCTGCGCTGTTGCTTTGTCAGCACCTTACTGTCGTAGGCGATGACTCTCTCCGTGTCACCCACCCGCTCCGCGAGCACTGAACCGAATGCAGAGTCGGATGCATCCGTGTACAAGACGAATGTACCACGGAACGTAGGGAGGGCTAACACTGGAGGTGCAGTCAGCGCCTGCTTCAGACTCTCAAAAGCTGCTTCAGCTTCCGGCGTCCACGTCAGGTGGTCACCCACCACCTTGGCTTCCCTCAGCGGCTTCGTGAGATCCATGTATTGTGGGACAAAACGGCTGTAATATCCGCACAATCCGAGGAAGCTCTTCATGCCGTCTTCCGTCTTCGGTGGAGCCCAGTCGAGTATCTTCTGGATGTTATGTGGGTCCGGTAGGAGTCCCTCCTTTGCGACCCGGTGACTGAGGAACGTAACTTCGCGCTTTGCGAGGCGGCACTTTTCTGGTTTGAGCTTCAGCTTCGCCGACCTCACTCGCTTGAAGACATCACAGAGCGTTGCGATGTGCTCGTCCTCGGATCTGCTTGATATGATGATGTCATCAAGGTAGACTAAACAGCGTTTCGAGTCCAGACCTTCAAGCACCAGTTCCATGAGTTGCTGGAATGTGGCTCCAGCATTTTTGAGACCCATGGCCATCACCCTGAACTGATTGAGTCCTTTGCCCGTGGAGAACGCCGTCTTTTCTCGGTCCTCTGTGGCCAGCGGGACCTGCCAGTAACCGGTCGCCATGTCGAGCGTCGTGTACCACGTTGCCCCCGCTAGGGTATCCAACACCTCGTCGACCCTCGGCAGAGGATGCGCACATCCGCGAGTTCAGCTGTGCGCGGAGATCGACGCAGAAGTGGAAACTTCCATCTTTCTTTCTGGCCAGGACGACTGGGGAGCACCACGGACTTGTACTCTCTTCAATTATTCCAACTTTCATCATCTGCGTCTTCTGCATCTCGACTTGCTCGCGGAGTTTAACTGGTACCAGCCGTGGTCTCTGCTTCACGGGAGCCTCCTCCCCTGTGTCGATGTGGTGTTCGAGCAAATCTGTCTTGCCGATATCACCCGCATACTGACTGAAGATGTCTGCATATTCGCTGAGAATGGTTCTGAGCTTCTCCTTTCCTTCCGCTGAGAAGTCAGATCCGTCCACATCAAGTACTTCTGTCGCCGTCGTATTCTGACGCCTTTCTGTTCTGCAGCTCACATCATCAACGTCGTCATCATCACTGTCCCCAACGCCTCCGTGTGCAGCCAGGCACAACTTGTACTCGCAGTCCTTCTCGTTTGTGGCATCATAAAATGTCCCTAGGTCGCTGCCACTGAGAACACGGACTTCTTCAGACCCAACATTTGTCAAAATGATCGAGACGCACCCGTCGTCGTCTGCAACGACCAGAGCCCTTGGAGTCAGGAGTCTCTCCCGCTCCGCTACGGTTGATGGCTCGAATATCCCGGCTGCACCCATTTCATCACTCTGCACGCCGTCCACTCTCTCCAGCTTACCAGCTACCACGCACTCTGACCGTGCTGGAATGACGACGTTCGACAGTAATCGCACTCGCGCACGTCTTGGTCGAACCTGCTCCCGGCTCGGCAGGGGAACGCTCATGGTTCCAATCTTGAATGAGCCAGTGTCGTCTTCAATGACCGTGCGATGCATGCACGTGAAGTCGCGACCTAGTATCACGTCGTACACGAGGTCGTCTGCCACGGTCACTACCGGGCATCGGAAGCTGACTCCATCAATGCATAATGAGAGGTTTTCCAACTCTCCAACTATCTGGAGGGAGGTACAGGTCTCGCGATATTAAGCGGTAGGTTTTGCACTTTTACATTTCCGGTTATATCTCAGACACTAATCGATCTACGATGAAGCCATTTTACACGATCATGGCCGGCTTGTTACCCAACAAATCGATCGCATCTTCAACGCTGAAAAGCTTTAGACGACGAAGCTATAGCCTGAAGTACACTAAATTTTCTAGGTGCAAAACCTACCGCTAAAACCCGCGAGACCTGTACCTCCCGCTCCGATAGCATTGCGCGCGCTCGGGCTGAGCCGGATTGTTCTCAGTGCTGGGTTTCCCTCATAAAATCCTCTTCGCATCATGGTGAAGTCGGCACCAGTGTCCACCAGCGCCCATGTCGGAGCACCGTGAATGACGACCCGAACGGCCGACGCCGTGAGTGGGGACGCTTTAGAGAGGATTGGGACCTGTCCCACGGCTCCAGTCCGGTTCAGTTTTCCTGATGCGCACCGGCGCCCCGCCGGGGATCAGCAGC